CAATTTAGATGTTTCTTGTAAGTCCTTATATCAGTAGTTCTTTATCAGTAGAAAATTCGGATATTCCTTACAATAACTACTGTTTGACTTCATGTTTTTTAACCACAGCTGTCACTTTTTGTAGGTGGCTTGTTCCTTAAAATTTGCATAAATCATTAAGTGGTATTGTGCTATAGAAAAGCATCTTCTACTTAGTAAAAGAAATGAAACAACATTCATTTAAGAAATTGCACCAGACCTTTAGAGAGATTTAATAAAGCTATTCATTACATTATGTAGCATTAGAAAAGGGCAATCCCCCTACTTATGGTATGAATAAAAGAAGGTGATATTAGCCCATGCTTCCTCTTAATTTTTTGAATTTTTTGTCAAAAAAAAAGGAAATTCTGGGAGCATGATATCTGCACCTGATATCTTGAAGAAAGCCTCTCTGAAGAAATGAACGAAAAAAGTGTCGTGAGGGTCATGTAGGTAAATTCAAGTTATTTTTGTAGTGTCATTTTTGTAATAAAAATGGGGATTATAGGGGAAAAACATGGAGTTCATGCAGTGAACAGTTTATCTCTGTGCCTCCTGGGTTTATTTAGGAAAATATGTGTATTAAGATGCTTGACAGAAAATTCTTGTTTGTCACTGTATGTTCTCATTTACAAATTACAGTGTTTCAGGGGTCTCATATTTATCTGGGAGACATGTATGCTAACTGAAGATTTGCAGAAATCGTTCGCACATCTAGTTATTTTTTTGCCTTAGTAGATGCTTTATAACAGCTACCTTGAGTATTAGAAATTCAATACTGTCATATGTTCTGCAGTATCTAGTCCTTGGCTGCATTACAACCAACAGCTAAATCAAATAAGATTGCAGTACATGATGTTAGTAAATGTAGATGTGGATGTCTCTCTGTCCGTGTCATATTTATATGTATATTAAGGATGTGTGTCTGTTAAGCCATTATCCTTGTCCAACTTCAAGTGGAGGTGGTTAAATATAGTGGAATCACAGTGGTGGAAAAGATGCTTTGATGTTTGAAAAAGAGTAGGATAATAAAGGAGGAGAAAAGGGTACCCTCCATGAGAGAGTTGGATCTTGTTTTACATTTAGTCCTATTCAGTTCTACCTCTGCTCTCATATAAACCAAGAGTGATGTTCCTGGTTGTGTGGTTGGGGAATTTAAGCATTTTTAACTGCCTAGAAAATATCATAGGTGAGTGGGAAAAAAGAAAAAACAGTATCATCTGTGCAAATTGCACAGATACTAGGTTCAGAGATAAAAAAACTATCAAATGTGTATTCGCTTTGTGACCAACTTAGGTGTTGGTCACAAAGTCACTAATTTCCATTTTGCACTATGATGATAACTTACTAATAATGTCAGAGGATTATATTTTGATGTAAACTCACATAGTTATGATGTCTTAATTAAATGTTTGGAAACAAAAGCAGCTGTTGAGCTATGTACAGTTTTTGTAACTTGTTTTTTTTTCCATGAGATTCACACAGAAATAGATTTTTAAAAGTCCAAAGGCTATCCTTGTATTCAAATAATTGTACCAGTATAGCATGTTAGTGTGAAGTTCCAACACATTTTTGTCTGGTGATTTTATTTTAGCCATATAGTTTTTACTTCTTAGTCATGAATTTAGTCTCTGTGAAGGCCAGGAGGTGGAAACCCTCTATTATTCCAGCACTACACAGGACTCTGCGCTACTGTATCAGGAAATCTCAAGTAACAGTTTTATGATGCATGAGGATATTATTTTCTGCAAGCAATAACATACATTTCTATTTCTCCAGCAATATCCACATAATCAAACATTCGCAAGTGCTTTACAAAGAATTTAATTAAATAGTGTACAGAGTGACTGGATGCAGCACATACACAAACTGTTATATATTTAGTAGTTCCCATTTTGCAGTCAGCGCAGAACACTTTTGCACAGTGATATGTGTGAGTGATATTTCCATCAAAATGTGTATCACCCCTCCTTTTCTACCTTATTCCTTAAAAATGACACCTAAACCTTAACAGATGTCACCTCCAGGAGCACAGGATACCTTCCTCAGGGCTCTAATGGTGTGATAAAGAGAGGGAAATACAAATTCTCATGTTGAGACTTGAACATCAAACATTGTTCCTCTGAAATCAAACATTTATTCCTCCCCAGAGAAAGATATAGATTATTGTGTCTTTTACCACAAAACCAAATGCGTTTGGAATTTTATTTAAAGGCAGTAGAAGTTTTTGGAGCAATCAAAGACCAACCAATGAAAAACTAACATCAAGACTTGCATACTCAGGTTAGATGTGGACAGTCAGAAGTGAAAGATTTTATGACAATGACTATGTTCGGGGTCCATTCTGTCAGTCACTGGATATTAAGTCTCTTCTTTGGCATTAAAGTGCAGTGTATCAGTCCCTGCGCTAGGAAAAGGTAGTGTGCTCATATTCATTCAACATTATTGGTATGGTCATGTCACCTGCAGGGCTTAACTTTCTGGAAACTGATGGGGTTATCTGTTTTGTTTACTTTGTTCTGAAAAGCCCTTTAAGCATTAGCCAATGTGTGAGAGGAGTTTTCAGGCTTGCAGAGCAATGAGGCTGTGTTGGATGAAAGAGATTTAGAATATCCCTCTCTGGTTGCCTACCTGCAAGGCAGTTATGTGTCCGTCAAATTGGAAGGTTTTATTGGTATGTCAGTGCTATAAAGTATCAGTCTAAACCAGCAGACTAATACCAATGACACAAATGGTGAAAGACAGTCTATAATTAGCCATAAAGGTTTAGTGTGAAACCTCACCCTTGTTTCCCAGTTCCAGAGAGTTATTCCGGTTTATAACTGTCTGACGCTGACAAAATCAGTGTCAGATACATTACGACTGACAATAAAGACCAAAAACTACAAATGGACCCAAAGGAGAGAAAATAAAAGGATCAGTAAAAAGTAGGAAACTGGTTTTACTTTTGTGCTAGTTTTTGTTCTGTGTCTCTTTGCTAATTTGAGGGGAATTGCTGAAAACTTAATTGGGGTAAATAAGAACAGAGTCTCTCTGTATTCATCTTCTGAAGACACCTTTTGAAGGGTGATTTAATTGCTGTAGGAGAAATTATGGAGATATGGCTTTCTTTACAGAGTTGAGAATGGGAGAGATTGCTATTTAATGTCAGTGAAGATTTGCTGTTAACTTCAGTGATTTCACCCAGTAGCCTTTGTGTCCCTTTTTTTCCCCATCTTTATACCTTCAGACACGAGTTTTTCATTTTGCATGTCATTTATAACGAATTGCAGTTACTCTAAAAAATTAGTACAATTCGAGCTTCAACTGAAAAAGAAGAGGAAAGCATGTCATTTTGAATTTGCTTGCATATCTAATCTTGAACAGCATGTTTTGGATTTTTGCTTTAATTTCTTTAATTATGCTTTTGTTCTAGTGTCTGCTTTTCTATAAAATACTTATTCTTTAGCATTTGTAGTATGTCTCTGTGATTTGAATATTTTTACTTTGCTTGTATTTGGAAGTATCTGCTAGACTCTCTCTTTGCTTGTGCTAGGAGGCTGGTATTTTTGTGCTTCTTGCATCAGACCCTTTTTGGGAATGCCAGAATACACCCAAATTCTCCATTCCTGATATTTTAGTGGCAACTTCCTGTGAATCCTGGAGTAGAGCTCCTGCAGTCTGTTTGTTCTCCAAGCCAATTCTACCACACTTCAGCAAGCCAAAACAGACAACCTTAGGAGATATGTCAGTGCTGTGATATAATTTAGAGTATTATTTAGAATAAGTAGGTCAGAATTTTTCCTGTTCTGGTTAGGAAGTCAGCCCAGAGATCTTTCATCCCACCCAGTGAACTACCACCTACATGTATACTACATGTGATAACTGCCAATGAACTCGGTTTGGAACCAGAAGTAATAGAACCAAATGAGAGAGGAGTGTGGCAGCCAGGCTAATTAATTAAGAAGTCAGGCTAATTAGTTTGACTAGAGGGAGCACTATGCTGATGTGACATTGTAGATTCCAAAATTCTGTCTGATTTGTACATGGGTTGCACTGGTCTTCTTACAGACATACAAGTTGTTTCTGGACTCTTTCAGATGTTTTTTGTCATGAAGCAACATTGTGTATTGGTTTATTCCCTAGAAAAATTTACTGTAATTTTGGATTTCTTTCTATACTGATAGTCAATTTATTTCCTTCTCAATCTTCTGCAGTAAGATTTTTTTAACACATGTATTTTAATATTGTCTTATTCAACTTTATGCCACTGAGATTCCTTGTTGCTTTTTTTTTTACCTGACGAAGGACCTTCCCATTTTCTTCCTAATATTTTGTCACTTACTGAATACAAAACTGAAGTAATGCTCCTGAAGTTGTGTATGGTCCCACTTCCAGCCTGTGGGGCTGAGAAGAGGCTGCCAGCAGTCTTGTTCCCAGAGGATGTGTGTTAGCAATAGTGCACACTGAAAGATGCCTTGTTTTGTAAGAACTGATGATCCTGAACAATTTGCCATTTTTCTTGTTATGAAACACTATTTCTTCAGTGCACTCCTTAATGTCAGGTTACATACAGTTTTATGTGTAAGATTTTCACGAAGAAGTTGCTTTAACGAAAAGATAAAAAATACTTGCTGTAAAAGTCTATGTTACCACATTGATATGGTATAGTAAACATGAGAAGCAGTATCAAACCCAGCAATAAATCAATAAGGTGTTGTAAATAAGCTGAATTCTGTATAGAAAGCTTCAATTAGAAGTACTAATAATGTATTACATCAATAACATAGTGCTCATGTGTGAGCAGATATTGGCATAAAATAAAAAAAATGAATATTTTATTAATGTTTCCTAAATAACGTAGCTAGAAAGCTGAAATTAAGGGTTTTTTTAAATGTGTGTTATTTATAATGCTTTTAGTGATGACTTATGGTCTTACTTACAATAGTTCTTCAGCATAGTAGCTCCCACAAGGAGTTAACGTATATTTTTTCTATTTCTAGATCTGTTAGCTGTGCCTAAGCATCCATATGCTGCTATGGAGAACTGGGGACTGAGTGTTTTTGTGGAGCAAAGGATACTGCTAGATCCAAGCATTTCTTCTATATTATACCTACTGGATGTCACCATGGTCATTGTACATGAGCTATGTCATCAGGTATTAAAGGTGTTCACATACTTGATCTTAATGTCAGAAACCATGCATTCCTTTTTAAAACCAAAAATGAATTTATATTGTACGTATGGACAGTTGCAACTTCCATTGTACTGAAATCCAAATAACACAGAGGTCTGTAAGACACATCCCTACAATACAGAAACTGTGAAGACTCAAAATGGGCATAGAGGAGAAAATTAGTAGCAATGAACAACTTCCCTGTCTTCTGTATGATTATATTCTGTATGTTTGTGTCTCTGTGTTTGTTGCTGGTGTGTAGAATAAACATGTTGATAGGTGTAGAAAGTTATTCATTGTAGAACTACAGCAGGTTCATCCTGAATTTCATGTTCATGTCAAAAAAATCTTTTGGCTCAATTTGGTAATCAGCTTCTTCTTCCATCATATATACACATACTTCCATTGTTTTCTTTTTTTAACCCACTCTATGTTCACTGTTGGTGGATAATCAAGTCTTTATGTGTACAGAAACTGTGTCAATAAGAAAACTTAAAATAATAAACCCATATTACAATTTATTTCGTGTTTTCCCCATCTTCTTATCTCAAACTGAACACATTACAAGTATTTAGTAATACTGAGTTGAATGCAGATATTATTGAAGAAATTTGCTACAGGGGCAGGCAACGCTTTCTTACACTCATAAGAGGCATAATCATAGCCTTCAGGTTAAAATGAATGAAATCCTACTGTGTAATCACCATGGCTTACATCTGTGACTTTACACAGTGTTCTTTAAAGGCAATGCAAATTCTGAACACTTTCTGCAAATAAGAAGTCCCATGTAAAAGGGAGCCATTGTAATGGAGTTCTGGCAGATGAACCTGGAAATAATAATGTTTGGTTCATGTTCATATTAATGTTTCACATTAAATCTGTCAATGAATATGAAGTCCCTAACTACAACATGAATTTTTTTTTGAATGTTATTGCTGGTTTGATCTTGATATGATCATCTGATTTTATTATAAGCTCTTTATTGTGCATTACAATAGGGTAGCACACTGTTCAGCTAGAAAAATTACAGTGCCTTAGGAATCAGGCGAGGAAAACACACATTAGATCATGAAATCCCAGCTCTTGCTAGTATTAGATTCTTCTGTGTGGTGTATTTGTAAAGCCAGGCTCAGTGCTCCTGATTACAGGGTTATGTGACTTCCCTTAAAACCTTTTGATTAAATCTGATGGTCAATACCTTTTTCTAAGTTCAGCTTTAAATCTTAGTTTTTGTGAAGTAATTTCATTACTTCCAGTTATTCTTTGCACTGGTTTGATAATTTCCTCTGCTTCCAGAGCAATTTGTACTTCAGATGTGGGCAATTATCACATCAGTAACATTCCAAGTTTGTTTATTCGATTCTCATTGAAACTGAAGCCTTTTCACATTCTTCTGGGAATGTCAGAGGACCATGAAGTGGGTGAAAACTGTAACTGAATTTATTTTAGGGTAGAAATGTGGTCATAAAGTGCTTTTAAGTGACCTTAAAATAGCAAATGAGGAGGTTTACTTGGTGTCCATGTGGATATTACTTCCAGTGCTGTTTGCCTAATTAAATGTAGCTTCCTCTATTCCTGTTGCTGCTGTTTCTGTTTCAGCATCTTGCAGATCAGCTCTTTGCTTAACTGCTTCACTGGATAACTACACAAGATAGAAAATATTCAGGTGAAAGAAACATTATTTCTACTTTTTAGATGCAGAATTGAGTCACAGAGAGTATGATTGTTCATCTGCAAATAAATTTTTGAGGGAGAAACCCTCAAAAAATATAAGCTGCAAAATACTGTCTAGCACCTCCATCACAGTATTGTCTTTATTTAGTAATTTTGTCTGCTTTTATCTTACTCATACTCCCTCAAGGAAACTTTAGAGCAGGAACTCTAAACAATACTATCTTAATTGAAAATGTCCTGAACTGAGACCTGGTTGGGTCCGGGATTTCTTGCCTCTGCTGTTTAATTGTTAATTATTCACTGCATTTTTCATTGTCTTTTGCTGTGAAGCCATCTCACTTGCTAACCTGTGGTGATACATGAATATTCCTCCCCTTCACTCAATTTTACACGTAGAGTAACAGCGTTTAACCAAAATAACTTCTGGTGCAACCAGAAGTAGAATCCACATTTCCAGTTTTGCTTTTTTATTTATTGATTTTTTTTTTTTTAATTTCAGTTAAGAGGAAATGGAACTCTCATAAGAAAACATTCTTTTTTCTTTTTCTTCTTTTTTTTTTTAAGAATTTTGTCATTGTCCGTTTTCCCTGACTTTAAACCCATGACTTTAAAACTTATGGAACATATCTGAGCATATAGTAAACTGATTTGTATGAGACCCCTGTTACTTCAAGTAGCACAGCAATTGCTTTGCTAATGTTGTTTCCAAGACTGAAAAAAACAGATGAATATTAAAAAATGAGAGTATTGCCTTTAGATTTGCCTGTTTAAAATTGTAATTCCCAAACCTGCTGGGTATTAATGCTTGAGTACAGTCTTCAGGACAGATAGAAAATGAGACAGCATTGCAAAAAGACAAATTCTGTGGTTGTGAAAATACAGGTGAAAAGTGTGTAAGAAAGAATTTTGTGTCCAGTTTCTTCACCGTTGACTTTGTCGTGCTTGACCAGGTATTTATTTTAGGCACATGTTTTAGGAGAGACGCATTACAGTTAAGTAGGTAGCTTTGGTTTTGTCATTACATAGGTTGTATTTTTTGATATTTCAACTTGAGTGTTCTTTTAGAACATTTTATTAATTAAAAAAATTAATAAGTGAAAGAATGAGTGTTTTGGCATAAAACCTTCTCTTCCAAGCCCCAAACCGTAAGAGGGATATTGGTCAAAACAACATATTTCTAGCAGCTTAATTTGATAGCTCAAAATAATTACCATAATTTATTAAAATAATTCTAATTAGGGTAGTAATCAGTTTTATGGGCATATCACAGATCAGTCCCACCTACAGTCTTTGAAGGAAAATTCGCTTGAATTTATGCACCATCATTTTTGTGATAGTTTTCCCACCTGAGAACAAAACTTCATGTGACAGATTGACTTAAAGAGGCATGAAAGCTGAAAAGACATTTAAAAGTTCTACATCAACATTTTTTTAATAATCTGTAAAGGAAGCATATAGGAAAGAGTGTCCTCTCACTGTATCTGTAAAATAAGTACTTTCTGCATATCAGATTGAACCTAACACTTGAGGGGGATGAGAAATTTATGTAATCAATAAATTTTAAAATAAAAATGAAGTAATGATCTTCATTCCAGGCAGATAGTGTTTATAGTCAAATACACAAATAAATACTTAAAGAAATTAAATGCTTTACTTACAGTTTTCCTTTCAGATATGTAACACCTGGGAAGATAATAGCACCTTTCTGCTGGAAAATTTGGCTTTCTTACTTGCGTTCTCTGGCACTGCTCTGTCTCTGACATCCATAACTCTCTCTGATACTGTTCAAGACTAGTTAAGCAAATTCCCTGCATTTTCATATGGATATGCTGGTTTAATGACTGTAAAACATTTCTTCCTTTAGGTGCATAATTAAACAAATTGTTTTAACTGTATGAGTAGTTGTATCAGTAATAAATAAACCCAGAAAACTCACAAAGGAATATAACAAATTCTTTTTTATGACGTCATAAACTAATCTTATTAATTCAAGTTACAGGTATTATGAATTTTACAACCTTTATTTTTTTTAATCTCTCTCTGAATAGTCATAGTACAAAATGACTATTACTTGTTTTATATTTGTTCAGCAGTCCTCTTGCAATTCAAGAAATAAACTCTATGCTATTGTGTTTAGTCTGTCGTCGCAAATCATTTAATCAACCTATTCTGGTATGAATATAACTGTCATACTCCTCAATGTATGAAAGTTACATTCATTTCAACATTTTAAATTCTGAAAATGCATTAGCTACATTAATATATTTCCAATATTTCTTTGTCTTTTCAGTTGAATGTTCTTAAGAACAGGATCTATCTTTGGCAGCCCTACAGAGAGTTAATTTATTGGTAGCCTTCAACTACATTATGCTCACTGAGTGTGCATTAATTTTAGCTTCACTTAGTGTATGAATTCTTAAGTTGGTTGTTAGTGACATTTAGAGTCACATTTTGCTTATTTTTTCATTCAAATCCTATTTATTGAACCTTGTGTGGCAATCTGGTAATCTTTCTGCTAGTGTGTTCTTTGAAGCACTAGTGTTTACTTCGCTGTGGATCCTCATTGCAGCATTGATCCTTCCTTGGCACTATTCTCACTCTGCAAAGACATGACAGAAGCAAGACCTTTCATTCAGGTCCCAGACAAAGCCTTCAAACAAGCCAGATGTCATGAAAGCGAACTGCTTATTGGCCAACTCCACTTTCATTCATTCTCCACTCTCATTACAGTTCAGCAGCAGCTCTTCTGCTCTAACCTGAGTCTCTGCCTGTGGAATACTTAATTTCTCCTCCCTTTCTGTGTATTTTCAGAGCTTGCAAACACATGAAAGCTCAAAATTATTTCTGTTGATTATTAATTATTCTCATTTTTATTCATATTATGAGAAAACTGACATAATTTTACTGAAACAAAGTTTTGGTATTTGTTGGGCATAAAAGGTGCTACAGAGAGTATGAAATAGTGTATATGTTTCTACTCCTACCACTGGTGTTACGGTGATTCAGGTTGCATAGGGCCATTACAATCATTTAAACAGGATCATCCATGAGCAGAAGAATTTATGACATCTGATTTCCTTTGAATTCTTGTCCTCGTTCGTCTTCCAGTGATCATCTTAGCTCTGTGTAAAATCCCTCTCTGACACCCACATGCCCCGTGCCGTGTCTGTTGATGGCTTACTAAGCAGAGTATCTAGTGGATGTGTTCTTGCCTCACCCTCAGATCCAGCTCTTCTCCTCTTTTCAGATGATAATCTTTATGTACTTTCACAGGAGTTTAATTATCCTTGAGATTTCTGTCCTTCTTGCTAAATTAGATTGAAGTCAGTCGGGCAAATTGAGGGGTGACCTGGGGGAATGGGAAGGGCAGTCAACCCTCAAGTAGGCTTCCTTTGCATATACATTGGTGGCCTATGCCGTTTCAGATACCTCTGCTTCTGGTTGTTGTTTGGGAAGGCTGCAATTCTCCTGTAAGTCCTCTATGAAGTTTTCTAGGCCTGGGTGGGTATCTCAGATACCCTAGGATGTTCTCTAAGTGGCATCAACTACCTGCTTTTAGGCATCTGAGTCCTACTCACAGAAAGATGGCATTGTTATATAAAACTGCTTTCCTTAGAAGACCTTCTGAGAGGAGCATCGCTAGTGTTGTAAATCTTAGTGGGCAGACATTGTGGAGAAAGAAGTGCTAAAATTTAGGTCTGAGGTGGGGAATGTTTTCCCAATTTTTCAATTTTCATACTATGCATAGTGACGTTTCCAGGTAATGGATCAGATTATTCAAGTTAGAAGCCTTTTTCTGTCCAGTGCATATGTTAGTCCCTTAAACCTAGGTGAGCATCTACTTCAGATAACTAAAGTTGACGTTGTGAATACTGTCCTCAATGCTTCTTTTCCCCACTTCTTCTTTTCTAATGTTTTACTTCATTAACTTATGCATCCTGTAAAGGCTGAATTAATTAGTACATGAAAAAAACAGTTGAGTTTCAGTGGGCGGTGTATACTACTGTTTTTATTAAAACTTTTGGAGAATGTGTTCTTTATAAATGAAATATATGCAAACATGGTTTCCTAAAGGTCGTGCATTTGAACTTTTCTTTGCAGTGGTTTGGTGACCTTGTGACTCCAGTTTGGTGGGAGGACGTGTGGTTGAAAGAAGGTTTTGCTCACTATTTTGAATTTGTTGGGACAGACTACCTCTACCCAGGGTGGAACATGGTAAGTCAGTTCTATTTTGTTAATGTGAAAACTCCACAGAAAAGTTGCTGTGCTGTTATACTCCTGCTTCTGTTATAGAAAAGGACTGCTGAAAAATACCAAATGATGCATGCAAGTATCAGATGTTGAATGAAACAAAATCACTAGGTGTGAAATAATTTGACAGCATTCCAAAAGTGTTCAATTTATTGCAAAGGAAATAATGTCATGTCTGTCGTAACCCAGCATTAAAATAGCTACTGTCTCTCTGCTCAGAAATATTTTGGATTAAAGCAGTTATGATTTAACTTGGACCATTTTTTAAAACATTGATATGGTTGAATTTTATCTACAAGATAAATTGGAAAGAAATGTTTCACAAAACATTTTATAAAATGGAGCATATTTTTTCTGACAGTATTCTGTTCTCTCCCTAAGTTTATTCTTTTTATCTTCCTGCTATTGTTTGGCTATCTAGCAGCATAAATTAACATGGAGTATATGAGTTGAGAATCTAGCTTTCAGTATGATTTCTGGCTGTATGTGGTTGAACATGCTTTGTCAACTGGTGTGCAAATAAAGGAGCTCTCTGAGGGCAGACTGGAAATTCTGTGCTGGTACATTATTTTGAAGTCCTTCTGTTGAATCACATTGTACCTAGTAAGGTCTAGTTTATATGAATTGCTGTAATCTGGCTATATTATATTTATAAGAAAAACAGGAGATATGAGACCTCAGTACAAGGAAATTTTGTATGAACCCTATTGAAGGTTTCTATAGAGATTTTGTTGTCCATTGGAGACATGGTTTTGTTTGCTAACCTTTTATGTTTACGGGTATTTAATTAAGTGGCAAAATATTTATTATAAGTCCCGATTGTCTGATGGAGATTTGTTGGAGCTTGGATGTTTTGCTTAGACTCTTGCAAACTAACTTCTGAAATTTTCTTTTTCTGATTTCTGGGTGATTTATTGAGTATTCTTATGCCATTAATTTTTGTATACGATGAAATGAAGATGCTATAATTGTGAGTTAAAGCTAATTTTTGAAAATAGTTGTATACAGATACTCTTGCTTTATGTCTGCTTCTTGTGAAGTTTGAATTTTTTGTAGTATGTTAATTTTTTCTTTAAGGTGTCAATTTTGGTCTATAATTGCATTATGAAGAGGGAAACAAATCTTTATCTGTACTGACATCTGTCTTGCATACATAGGCTTGTTGGATTTACGTGGCTTTGGCTATATTAAAACTCATTCTGTTCATCTTTATGAAGAACACAACCTGAATTACAATGTAATGATTCTAATTATAACTGCAATGAAATCTTTATGATTCTAGCATAGTGAAGTGTCATAGATGACAACATTTATACACTGAATTTTATCTTCAAATCGTCAGTCAATTGTTCTTCACATTATCAGTCTAACAAATTCAGAATAACTTTGCTTTAGAAAATATTTGGAATATAGTATATTTGCTTGAAATTTTTGTGGAATTAATGTAATCTTCACTGTTATGCAAATGACATGCCCATCACATGAAATCTTGGCATCTTAGCAGAATACAGGCAAAGTGAATGGCTTGAACAAGGTATGGCAGTTAAACTGGGAAATCAGAAATGTGCTGCATAAATTAGAATTAACTACAGAAATACTGCTGTGCCTGAAAAAATATTAATCTGTCAAGCTTTTCCTTAAATTAAAAAGAAGGTAGACATAAACTGTTCATAAGGCTTTGAGTAGCTGTGGCCCTTGATAGAAAAATGACCATATTGACATATTTAAATAATTAGAAAATGAGAAGATTCTCTTAATGAGTTAAACATTTAAACATGCTGCATTCTTTTGCAGACTAGAGAAGGAGTCAATACTGTTGTGTTTCAGCCTCATTATAGAGATTGTAGGAAGAGGAAGCAAAAGTTACAGTTACTGAAATTAGGCTTGCTGGTGTTTGTTATTGGTATAAAATGCATTTGCTGTTTAGATCAACACTGACTGACATTTATAAACTTGAAAAAATTAAAGTGAGCATGTAGAAAAAAAAGAAAAAGGATGCAGTACAAGCTTCATGAATCAGTTGCGAAAACAAGAACTACAAGATTGATTTTCTGTAATGATGGCTAAACAGTGCAATATTCCAGCATTCCGGGTAGTGTTTTCTCAGCAGTATGTCATACCCGTGAAATAAAAATAAAAGAAAACATTATGGTGTATGTTACCACAGGTTTTTGCATCAGGAAAATGGTGATATTCCAAAATCCTCTTTATTTCTAAAGAATTGGGAAAGTTATATAGTTAACTTCTTTCTCTTTTAGTTCTGAAATGTTAACCTTGAAAGTTTCCTCAAGAAGCCCGTAGACTAAAATGTTGAATTCAGCTTCTTTTCAGTTTACTAAAGGCTTCTTTTCACATTTTCTTTTGAATAAGTGTAGAGCAGAAGACTGGTAGTCCATTGCAGAAAAAGGACTTTTGTTTGGAAATGCAACTTGGGCAGTATGGATACATCTGAAAAAAATGAATCTATCCACAGCTTCATACCTAAGTTGTTCAATATTTATAGGCTACAGACACCTAAACTTCCATCATTAAGGCTCATAAGCCTCTAAAGTTTTGCTACTACTTGTCTGAAGATGCTTCTCTTTTAGCACAGCTGAGTGTTTTTCAGTGTCCATCTTATTTGACATTTGTAGTCTTGGTATGGCTGAAGCTGAGAGTCTGGAGGAGAGTTATCTGTAAGGCGTGTTCGCACCATTATAACGCACCATTTTAACCTAAACCAACAGCACTGAGTTCTGCACAAAGCAGAGATCCATGTTTTTTTTCCTGAAACACGTTTAGTGGCTTCTCCTTCTTCTCTAGGTTCTTTACCTTGCTTAAATATTTCTTTTCCTACTGAGGTTCTTCCTTTATATCTGTTTTTCTTCAGTTGTTATATAGACTCTTTTGCAGCAGGAGAGACTAATGAGTAAGAGTGACTGAACCTGCCATGGAGCTGTAACACTTCACTGAGCATTCCAGCAGGTCTAAAATTTCTTGTTTTGTCCAGAAGGCATTTACATACTTCATCAGGCTTGCATTATCTTAATGAGAAAGGAAATCCAGTCCTTATTAAACACTTGCCATCATTATGTACTGGATCCTCCTATTAAAATTTTGGGTGAAGAACAGAATGAAGAGGCATTCTGATGGAGGTGTCTATTATCCATTGCAGTAAATGCAAGATACATCAGAACTCTTCCAAGGAAGTGAATGAAGTTTTGCAGGTTTTAAAAGAGAAAGATGAGTTTTCTGTGCTGAGAAGCTTCGTGACCACTGGTCTTAATATCCTTTTTCAAATTTAAGTTACTTCAAATGAAAGCTAAAAATTCTCATTTCCTTCCTTCAGCTGAAAAATAAGTCTCTGCATGTTACTTTTTACAGATGAAGCTATGTTTGATTTTGCAGGAAATCTGTCTCTGCTATACAGTTGTTAGACATTTTCCATGAAAAGGATTTCACCATTCTTCCCATTTCATCCTCTTGCCTTGTCTGTCTCTCAAATTAAGAGTTTTTTTAAATTCTTATTCCAAAATGCCTCAAATTCTTAGTCTTAGATCTCATTCTTAAAGTCCTGGAAGTTTAATCAATTGTTTCTCTGTTGTCAGGATAATTTTAGAAAGAAAGCTGTCTCTGCTAAGTGTTCCTCCCAGAGATCAGAGAATTTCGCTTCATCATGTGTAGTCGTCTCCATGTGAATTCCCTGGCTGTTGCTACTTCATAACTTAGAAAGAGATGAGATTTCTGTATTAAAGTCTTAAGATGTAACTGTTTAGTTGTCTCTCTATGCCATCAAAAAGCAACCACAGCTGGACGTAAGTTCTTGAGCTGTAAGAACTTATGACCGATTCAAGGTAATCTCACCTCTGTGGAAGGGGCCTCTGCTAGTTTTAGGATCAGAGAAAAGAAAAAATTGCAGCAGAAAACTACATTCTGGTAATTTCTACTTCAAAGCTCTATCTGTCTACCCTGATCACCTTCCTTTCAGAGGCCTGTTTCCAGCTATATATTCCATCTTCCTCTTGGACTGTTTCTCTCGTTATCTTGAAATCTTTTGCGTGTGGCTTTGTAAAGGAAGGAATTCAGCTGAGGCTTGCAGATACAGGAATTTATTGACTGGTCTTTTGCCTTCTTATTTTCTGGTAGAAGGAACCATCATGTTTGTCCTTGAATGTCTGTGGCATTGGGGTAGGTTTTGAGTACTGTGACAGCAGGAATTACTGGCATGTAATTTGCCCTTACATCCATCAAAAAAGCATCAAATACTTTAGCAGTCACTACCTGGCTTGATGCTGAGAAAGCATTTCACAGACCCCAGCTGCCTTCTCCCTTTTCTTTATTATATAGAAGTTTGCTTTGCTGACAACCTTATTGACAGAGTCAAGGTGTAGTACATCAGCAAAACTTTGAATCCTACGTCTTCTTGATCCATTGATGCTCTGGGATCTCCCACTTTCTTGTCTGCTTACTACTTTTATAGGTAAGGATGGTCATATTTGTCAGAATTTTTCTTAGTATTAAATTAAAAACTTTGTGTCTACATAGAAGGACATCTTTCCTATTTCTTAAAGTGAATCATATTTCCTTTACATTATTAGGTTCCACAGTATGGACAATCCTGCCATTACTACAGGCAGTTGAAAATAATAATAATGAGGTTGCGTAACAACATTTCTGTTTCAAAATAAGTAAAAAATTGACAAATTATCTTAATTGCCTATCTTTCTCATTGACTTGGTTGAAATAATAAAAGCGAATGCAGCCATTAGACACATGTATATCTTTAATGTACTTTAATTCACATTGCCTCCTAAAGTGTTTGCCTCCATCTGTAAAGATTTCTAAGGCATTGTTTGACTCATAGAAACCCCAGAAAATAATATAAGTTTTGAGGTAGACTTAAGACATGGGCCTTTTTGATTTATTTCATTATTATTTTGGCATTTCACACCTGAGCTGTAGCCTGCTTGATCCTTCTGAATCCA